AAACCAATGATATCTAATGAACTATAGTATACCCATGAAGTGTTCACAGGTAAGAGCCAAGCTAATTGGGGAGATACAAAGACTAAGGCAACTTATAGAAGGAAGCGTTTTATTCAGAGGCTTGTTCACAGTTTCAGAGGATGAGTCCCTGAATATCACGGTAGGGAGCACGGCAGCAGGAAGGCATGGAACTGGGGCAGTATCTAAGAGCTTACATCGTATCCACAAGCATGAGGCAGAGGGAGAATTAACTGGAAATGAAGTGCAGTTGTAAAAGCCCCAATTCTGCCACCCCCAGTGACACACCTCCTGTAAGAAGACCACATCTCTTCATCCTTTCCCGAAACAGTTTCACCAACTGGGGACCAAACATTTAGATACATGAGCCTACGGGGACCATTCTCATTCAAACCGTCACACTTAACAAAGCAAAATTCTTAACGTTTGGATTCTTTCCCAATCCTCCCAGAAAAAGCACCCCCTGTTTGTGTAACCCCTGTCTTCTTGTCCCACTGTCCTTATTCCCATCACCAGAGAAAGGGATCACAGAGCGACTTCCCAAATGAGCTCCGTATTCTGTCACCCTGGGCACAGCTCATAGAGGAGCCTCTGGGCCCAGTTCTACTCAAGAACTGACCTTGGCTTTTTCCTCTGAGTTTCTCATTTTCCTGGTCCAATTCTACAGGGACCTTTTCAACAAGTGGTGTTTCTGTTCACCCCTACCTCCATACGTTAACACAAAACTCCCAGAAACTCGTTTCCTTTGTCTTGACAAAAATATGGGTGAGTTAATTTGATGGTTACTTCCACTACAAAAACACTGACCCATTTCGTTACTATTTCATGCATACATGAAATACAAAGCCTGGGAAGATAGCAGTTCAGTAGGAAAACTGCTTGCCTGTAAACATGTTATCCTGAGTTCAGTTTCCCAGTGCCCAGGTAAAAACCTGGCGATGGCAGAACACTTCCGCAATCCCTGCGCTGAGAAGGTGGAGGTGGGATGGTCCTTGGAACTAAGTGGCTAGCCAGTCATGGAAAATCAGTGAGTTAAGGTTCAGAGATGAGACCCTGTCTTGAGAACTATGGTGGAGAGTCTCTGAGGAGCAGAACTGATGTTGAACTCTTGCTTACATACATGCACACAGACACATGGCACATATATACCACACATGTATACATACGCACACAATATAACCAAACTCAATTAAATAATAAGAATAAAGGGATCCCTTGCATCCAGAGCTGCCCAGGCTGGCTATGCAGGTGCCTCCTGCCTAGCAACGCAGGGTTTTGGTCACGTTGTAGTCCATGTGAATGATGCCCTTTGGGATTTACGGCTCTACCTTACATGACTGCCTATGGGGTGTCTACTTCCTCTCCTTAAAATGAGAAATAAGTTCATGCTGAAAAATTTTCTGATCTTAATTTTAATGAGCACTTGGTTAACATATTGGTTTACTTGCTATGGCTGATTCACAATTTAAATTAGAATTGGGGCTTTTGAACTCCTGGTTAGCCACGTGTTCAACTTCATCTAGTAGAGTTCTGTTGTCTCATAGTAGCTTTCTTTTGATAGTTAGATGCTTGGTGCATTTATAAAACTCCGTCCTTCTCCTTGTCCATCCCGTCTGAGTATACTGCACAATGGCTGTTTCCTGCTCAGGGTATTGTCAACCACTTCACCATATGTAAGAAATGGAGAACATGCCAGCAGCCCAGTGACATCAACTGGTTCACGTACATGGCTCCCTGGTGAAGTTCAGGCCATCATCCTTACCTAGGGATCATGTGAGCTCGGAAATCAGGTAGACTTGGATACCTCCTAGCTATGTTATTGTTGCTTTAGGTAGATACTATAAGACTTTAGTTTCTTTAGGAATGTGAACAACAATAGTATCGGCCTCATGGAGTCGCCAAGCAGATGAAAGCAGAACTTGGCACAAACGGAAGGAGCTCAAGAAATGTGAGCCATTGTAAGCCTCTTTCCCCAGGTTATGTTTAACTCCTGTGCCTCTGGAGAAAATGGTCTCTCAGTATTAGAGTTTAGATGCAGATAGATAGGTAGGTAGATAGGTAGACAGACAGATAAACTGACAGCAGACAGACTGACAGACAGATGGATTGATTGATAGAGATAGATATCAGAAATCAAGAGCCAAAATAATTCTTTTTCTAAAAAAATCAGATTAAGGAATAACTCCAATAAGATAGAAGAATGGATCTCCGATTTTGAATGGGCATTTCATCTGCATTTTATTTAAACTGTACAAATACAGAGAGAATATTTGCATGCCTTGTGTTTTCCTTGCTGCACAGCGTCAGCCTATGAAGTAAAGAGCTCACACTTGTCTTGCTGTCTCTTTGCACAAGAAGACACAGAAACTCGGCTAGGTTATGGGAATGTAGAAAGTTCCGGAGGCGGTTTTAATAAGCCTTTTCACTGGGAACCCTTGCTTGGCACCAAATGACAAAGGGAGGGCTGTGCTGCTTGGGTTGATGGTGTGGGCTCACTACTGCCTCACCGAGGACCCTGGAGGACGACAAACATTTGGCTTCAAACAAGAGGCACTCTGAGTGGAGACTGAGGGTGAAGCTCAGTAGTAAAATGCTAGCCTAGAGTGTGCAGGTGACAAGGCTCCAGGTTTAGTTGGGTGAGGTGGGAAGGAAGGAAGAAGAAAGAAGTGAGGGTAAAGAGATGGCGTTGTTTTAGCGCATACCTCTTCCATGGACATCCCTTACTTGCTGCCAAGTACTGAAGAGTTGGACTAGCGATGCCTAGGAAACCCCAAGTCTCCCCTAGGTGTTTGGACTGCAACACTTGATGCAGTGATCTTTAGAATGTCACTGGAGAGCTTTCTCCAGAACTCATTTTTTAGTTATCTTTAGCAAGTACACAACCCTTTCACACACACAAACATGCACATACATACACACACACACATAGATACACAGATACACATTCACAATACACACATATACACACATATGCACACATGTATACACACAACACACATACATGCATAGACACACATACATACATACATTCATATACATACATACATACACGAATAGACACACAGACACACATACACACTCACACACATGCATAGACACATTTACACACGTATGCACACACATACACATGCATACACACATACACACAATACATACTACATACATATACAAATACATATACACAAACACACACACACACACACACACACACAACTTTTTCTAAGTTTATTTTCAACTCCAGGAGTCACTTCTTCCTCTTTTGGTGAAAGAGTCACTTCTAACCTCCTTGCCAAGTTATTATTCATTAAATTGAAATCAAAGACAGGAATATGGGATGGACTCAGGGGCAGTGCCTGACGTAAAATACATCACCTCCTCCCTCCATATTATCAGTAAGGATCACAAACTAAACAGGTGACCAGAAGCTTATAGTCGAAATTACACTCTCCCCAGATCCTACCTGTCCCTTGTCACCCAAACCAATAAAACACTTGAACAAGAATTTTTTTTCCTGTTTGCTTATGTTAATCATCAAGCCAAACCAAACAGCTTTCTACTTTCTGGAATCAGAGGTGGCAATTAAATATGAAAACATCACAAATCCTCTAGGCAAACAAACAAACAACAATAAAAGCCTCTTGGTGTTCCAGGCCAGGAGGCAGACTACCACGGCACGTTGAAGCTGCATCAACTGTCTTGGTTTCCCAGTGCCACACGCCAGCACCACAGCTGGGCGAACGGGGAACTATTACATCTTAGTTTAAGGGTTGAAGTCAATCACGGTAATATAAAGTCTAGGTTGGAAGACTGTCTCAATCACTGAGTATGTTTATTAACTCTTCCTGCATGTATGCCGCTGGACACTCAAAGCTCTGGAGAGCCCTCTACATAAGTAAAAGACCTCCAAACAGCTCAGTCTGTTAAAATGAAACTGAGAAAAATCGATAAAATTGTTCCACAGTGTTAGGACAGGTGAAAGTATGCAAGGAGCTACAGAGACAGAAAAACTGAGCTCTGGGGAGAGAGAGGCTGCAGAGTTCCTTCTTCCCTCATATTGCCACAAGCAGGGAAACTGGTACTTCCTATTCTGGTCCACTGGATGATTAGAGTGTGAAGACTCTAGATCTTCAGATATAGTTTCTAAGGTTCTTCGCGTTCATGGGCAGGGACTACTGCTTACAAATGCAGAGTCAATTCCACACTATTCTGGGAGGCACAAGCAGAAAAACAAAACAAAACAAAACAAAACAAAAAAATCCAAAAAAAAAAAAAACCCACTTCACCAGCTCTCCACCCAGAGGAGCCTGGAATCCAGACTGACCGGCTGAACGCCCTGCTGGGGAAGTGAACTTGTGCCTATATCTGCCACATCTTTCCCAGCCTTTGGCACTACTTAAAACTGCACAACCACATGGACTCTCGAGCCAGAGGGGAGGGAAATGGAGAAGGATGGTTGAGGTTAGCATTCAAATACTGCCACCTCTCTCCGGTTTCTTTACCTTTCAAATCTTCACCACTGGATTGCCCAGGCTGCGAAAATTTTGCCTAAGTAGAAAAGTACCAGAGATGCCACGAGTCAGTGGCCTTGCTTTACCGTGTGGGTAGAGGCAAATTCCCGTCTAACCCTCCATTTCCAGTTCCACTCCCCAGACTCTACACTGCACTTGGGTTGTCCGAAGATTAAAAAAAAAAAATTGAAACCACGTGCACCGATATGTGCGAAGCTTCCAACACCATGTACTAAAGCACCCCATTCAAGCCAAGAAAACGCAGGCAGTCTAGTCTTTTAGTACATCACCTTGGGGCAGAGCCAGGGTGGAGATGAGTTGCCCCCAGGTGGTAAAAGTTGTCAAAAGTCCATGCCTGCCACTGCTTTGGCAAAACATAGGCAATACTGGCAAGTGTGTAAGTGTGTGAGTGTAAAGGTGAGTTGAGGAAGGTTCACGCTGCGGGGTAAGGCCCGCACAGCGTTAACCCCTTACCTTCCAGCAGTACTTCCTTGCCTGCGCGCTTCAGTGCCTGCACGGCTTCATCGTGGGTGGCGTCCCGCAAGTCTGCTCCGTTCACCGACAGGATAGCATCGCCCACATACAGGGCTTGGGTCTGATCCGCTGCCAGCCCCTTGAAGATCTTGCTGATGAGTATGGGCATCTTATTTTCCTTGCCCCCTTTGATGCTGATGCCCAGCCCTCCCAGCTCCTGCTTCAGCACCTTCACGCCCCTCTTCTGGTTTGAGATGGACTCAGGCACCTGCTCCGGGAGGTCGGTGAAGGCTGTGCGGACCCCGGCGGGAGAGTCCGGGGGTTGAGTGACACCAGTAGCCGGGTGCCCTGTCCCGGAGCCCCTGCAGAACGAGCCATTGGTGGCAGTCCCTATGCCGTTGTACGCCGCAGCGCCCTCCTCGCAGCTCAACACCAGGGCGTCTTCGCTTAAGTTCACCAGAACTTTATGCCAACGATCCCGCACCAAAACTTCCAACAGTCCGCTCCGCTGCGCCCGGCCGCCTCCCCCGCCAGCCGGCGCAGCCACAGCCGCCGCTGCTACCGCCATCTTTCCAGCATTCTTAAAATGCCATGTGATTGCAAACGGGGGGAAAAGTGGAGAAGGGGTGCCAGTGGGAGGACGCAGGTCGCTGGGGCGCGGGAGAAGCAAACGCCCGGCAGCGCGCACCCAGGACTCCACTTCCCGTGTTCGCGGCCGCGCTGTGCGCCACTTGGCAGCTGCTGAACTGGTTCCCCCTCGCCTGATCCTGGGCGGGGTGGAGCAACCTAAAAGAAGAAGGAGAGCCCTCGACAGGGGAGGAGGGAAAAAAGCCAGCTGCCAGTTGCCAAACACCAACCGGAGAGGAGCCGCGGAGCCGCCAAGTGCGGTGGAGAATCGGTAGGAGGAGGCAAGGGCGGGACCCGGGGCCCCAGCTGCTCACCTGTTCGGCCACGGTAGCGTCACACTCCCACGTCGCGCTGGCTCAGACCCGGGTGCCTCAGTTCTCTGTAATACCTTACCACAGCTCCCCTGAAACCTACCAGGTCCTGTGTCGCTGCACCCACCTCGCCCCCGAGCCCGTTCTTCTGAAACAGCCTTTCTCTATGGGTCCCCACACTCACCTTTAAGAGGTGCGCATTCTGCCTCTGTACCCTCACTCAATTCTCTTGAGCCAACTTGCCTCAGTCCTCACTCAGCTACTTACAGATCCAAGTCTTCCTCAAACCGAAGCTTCCTAGTCTCGACTCAATTCTTGCTTATTTCTCCTTTCCTGTAGGGCCCCTGGGAGGAAGGAAACTGCGGAGAGAGGTTCTAGGCTGGGCCAGAAGCCAGGGGAAAACTGTCAGAGGAACACAGCATTAAGTCACATTAAGCCTGCATACCCCTGCCCTATTAGTCAATGCAAGGGCCGGAATCTAAAGACAGAGCACTTGCGACAGAGGTCTTCATCTCCAGGACAAGGGTCTATCTCAACCTCCTGTGCCAGCCCAAAGCTTGTTGAGGCTCCCTCGTTCTTTCTTAGATGCCATACAGGAAGTGTCTTCTTTAGAAACTCAGAATGGGTTGGTTGCATCTCCAAGTTCCCCGAAAATTGCTTGCGTGTCTCTTCAGCTGCACGTTCCCAAGGTGACAGCGTTGTAATTCTTGGTTCTCTTCCTTGGCCAACCAGGAAATGCTACCATAACTGTAACCCAAGCCATAGCGGGACATTGCGAGGTTCGTTTACTATGGAACTTCTTTTTATTTATTTATTTTTTTAAATTTATTTATTTATTAAAGATTTCTGTCTCTTCCCCGCTACCGCTTCCCATTTCCCTCCCCCTCCCCCAATTAAGTCCCCCTCCCTCGTCAGCCCAAAGAGCAATCAGGGTTCCCTGCCCTGTGGGAAGTCCAAGGATCACCCACCTCCATCCAGGTCTAGTAAGGTGAGCATCCAAACTGCCTAGGCTCCCACAAAGCCAGTACGTGCAGTAGGATCAAAAACCCATTGCCATTGTTCTTGAGTTCTCAGTAGTCCTCATTGTCCGCTATGTTCAGCGAGTCCGGTTTTATCCCAGGCTTTTTCAGACCCAGGCCAGCTGGCCTTGATGAGTTCCCGATAGAACATCCCCATTGTCTCAGTGTGTGAGTGTACCCCTCGCCATCCTGAGTTCCTTGCTCCTGCTCTCTCTCCTTCTCCTCCTGATTTGGACCTTGAGATTTCTGTCCGGTGCTCCAATGTGGGTCTCTGTCTCTGTCTCCTTTCATCACCTGATGAAGGTTAATATTCAGGAGGATGGTTATATGTTTTTCTTTGGGTTCTCCTTCTTATTTAGCTTCTCTAGGATCACGAAATATAGGCTCAATGTCCTTTATTTATGGCTAGAAACCAAATATGAGTGAGTACATCCCATGTTCCCCTTTTTGGGTCTGGCTTACCTCACTCAGGATAGTGTTTTCTATTTCCATCCATTTGCATGCAAAATTCAAGAAGTCCTTGTTTTTTACTGCTGAGTAGTACTCTAATATGTATATATTCCTACTATGGAACTTCTTAAGTACTTCCCCTACCTTAAGTGGGTCCCCCAACTCGTTTAAGGTGTGTTAAGTTTTGTACCTACTTGTCTTCCCCCTGCTAGCTCTCCATTCTCTGGAAAACAAAAGAAAAATATAACTTTGTGATTGGTCTGGAGAAAAATCAACTAAATAACTAAGAATAAAGTAAAATATGATATCATAAGCATTAAAAATATATAAATCTGCCAATTCCTGAAGGTGAAGTCTACTCAACAAGATGCCAGGGGGAAGTGGGTCTTTGGGAGCATATATGTCTTCACCACACGGAAGGGTACCAGCAGCAAACAGCTCCAGCCCCTTCCAGAGTGCCACTTAAAAATTCACAGGATTCCCCTATGGAGTCCCAGGCAGGGGCACAGAACTCAGGGAAAATATTTAAGAGACTTTTTTGAGAACGTGAATTCAAGTTGCTGAGGCTCACTGGCGGCCCTTGAATGGATACTTTCAACTCTCTTGCTTCTATAAGTTTAAATCTGCTGTATTCCAAAAGGTGTTTTTAATGTTTTCATGCAAGCCTGCCCACAACCGGGATGTAGAGACAGCAGCTGGGGTTTCTTCCGTCCTTCCTGTTAGATTGGGACAGAGAGGGCGCTAACACAGAGGATACCACTATTGGGAAGAAACCTAGCAGACAGTGATCTGGCCTTCCGCTTTGGAGACTGAGATCTCAGGCCTGTGGTCAGTAAGTGTTTACTTTTCAATTGCAAAACCACAAACAAAAACAAAACCCAAACAAACAACAACAACAACAACAAACCTAAGGTTGAGCTAGGCATCAGAATGCAATGTACAGATGACGAAACAAAACTAAGCAGTCCCTGGACCAGAAATAACTAACCAGTCCTCTAGGCACCAGAATGCAATGTACAGATGACAAAATAAAACTAACCAGTCCCTGGCCCAGAAATTCTCCAGCCAGCATACCAGTGCCTTGTCTCTGCTACCCAGCAGCAGAGGAATGCCAGCCACACCCTAAAGTCATTGACCTATTACCCATTAGATGTGGCAGGCCGTGGGATGGACCCTCCTGCGGCTCTCTATGCTGAGCATGTTTTCTTCTGTGTGAGCAGACTTACACGGAAAGAAAATCCGGTCCTGGTTTAAAGTTGCATCAGAATGAAAGGGGACAAATATTGAATAGCTCAAGGCCGGAGGCATGCATGTGGCTTTGGTAGTGGGATTGTAATTACGGTCCCTGTCCTAAGTACTTTGCACATATTAACCTAGTCCTCTGGACACTACTTGAGGGCCATTTTGGTAAGGATCCCTCCTATTACAGGTGAAGAAGTGGAGGCCCAGGTTTACTAACCGACCTGGCTCATGTAATTAGTACATGGCAGGCAGGACTTGAAGTTTAACCATTGTCATACCCTCTGTTCAAAATATAGCCTAACAGCTATAGCCACAGCGCTCATCTGAAGGCAGCCTCTTCTTTTTCCACTGGGGAGGGACAGCTCTCAGGTGAAGGCCCTGCTCTTTGCTAGGAGATAGAACTGGTATTTCCTTCCGACATTTCTTTCTTCGCAAGCTTAGAGGGCACCTTGTCTATCTCCAGTTGATAAAGTTTTTTTTTTTTTATTTATACATGGCGATACTTGAAAATGGCCACCATCTGTGGTCTCGCTAGCTGAGAAGCCTGACTTTTTCACTCAGACAACGCCACGCATCTGACTTCTTATCAGTGCTGATTCTCAACATCTTATCCACCATGATATTTTTCAGTGGGAAGGGTCAAGTGGAATTTTATAATCTTAATAACTGGAGCAGAAAATCCCTTCCCCCCACAGCCCCTGTGTTAACTTTCTATCGTTGTGGCAAACACCTGAGATCAATCAGCTTCTTAAAAGTCAAGGCTAACTTTGACTCATGGCTCTGAGGTCACACGTCACAGTTTTGACTCTGTTGCTTCGTATTTCTGGAGAGGCTGGACATATGAACCAAAACTGTTCACCTCATGGCCAGCGAGGCAAGGGCAGAAAGATCAGTCTGGGGCTCACTGTCCCCTTCCAGGACTAGACAGAATGGCTTGATGACCTCTCAGTACAGTTAGAGACCCTCAAAGATTCTGCCGCCTTCCCATAGGAGCATGAGACATTCTAGATCCCAGTTAAATCAGACCCCTAGAGGTTACCCCTTTTAAAAACAATGGCCACTGGAAAGACCACTTTATAGGTTCGGCATTTGAGGCACAAGGCTGTAGAGCGAGTGTGTAGCAAAGCCCAGTCTAATTATTGGTCCTCAAGGTCATTATTCTTCAAAAGGCACCTGAAGCCTGCCCTCATCCATGAAAAATAAGACTTCATTCACACTATACTTTCCCATGTTCTGTTTATTCTTTCTCCCCTATAGACTGACTGCCGTTTTCCATCCAGCCCCAAGGGTGGTTTCTCAGTTCCTGTTTCCCTGGGATGTGCATTGATCTAGAGGATGAGTGGCTGTAGAACTGCCAGAGGGAGTCACATGGTCCTCTGTTCCAAAGATGCAGGATGCATGACAGAGCATCAGCATGTGGCCAGTAAGCCGTGGCCATCTATTGACTGCATAGATTTGAGTGCACCTACACTGTCCCAGCTGCTGTTGTGGTGCACGGATATAGGAGGAATACAAAGGCCAGCCCTAGGGAACTTTCATGGTAGTGAGTGACCCAGTTGGAGTAGGGACAGACTCTAAACATAAATTCCACATAGAGGTAAGGCAGGGGGAGAAACAAGGTAGGAAAGTGAAGAGCATCTGGGGCAAAGGTCAGTGGAGATAAGATGGAGGCTATCTCCGAGGTCCTTGGGAGAAGGTGAGATTTGGACAGAGAACAGGCTTGCTGTGGTGCTGAGAGTGAATGAGTGTGAAAGCATCTGGTCTCCAGGTTCCGAGTCTCAGGGCTGGGTTAGAGATTTACCTTTCAGAGATAACGTATGAAAACAGCGAGGGTGAGGGGAAGGGAATGAGGAAAGGGGAGCCTCGAGCTCGCAAAGATCTAGAGGAGGTTGCTGGGGAGAAGCAACAGTTAGTGTAGGGTGACTAAGGGAAGGCCAGGTTTGTCTAGTTCTAGTGACCAAAAGGTGAGCAGCATGGCTGTGACCGCTCAATGGAGAAAGAGACACAAGAGAGGAGAAGATGAACCAGATTCCAGAGGACCAAGGAGGATTGCAGTTCAGACTACCCTCCTTGCCATTTTTGAGCATCAACAAAGATGTGTTTTCAAATGAAGGAGCAAGCAGTCCTGATTTCAAATGTTATGTTAGTTTCATATTACATAAATGTCTACTTATCAGAAAACAATATTCTAGTGTTTGGAATTGGAAAAAGTCTGTACTTTTGACATCATTTTCTAAAGAATAACACTGAGAATTTTTAGGGTCTTTCTTTCTTCCCTTTCTTTTCCTTTTTTCCCCCTTTTTTGTATGTATTTTCCAATGAACAGAGAGCAGATACAGAGTAGACAGTGAAAGAATAGCAAAGCACTTTGATTTATGAGGTCATATTAGGGAAAAGGATGAAAAAGGAACAGGGGGTTTCAAAATACATCCCCCCTGACCTGAGCCAGTCCGGCAAACGCATATCAACTAAACACTGGGTACCAGCTTTTGTGAAGATGTAAGGCAGGTGCTGGAGGCAAGCACACTCAGGGATGCACAGATGACTAAGACAGGAAGACATACACATGCAGCACATGGGGAGAACAGAACAGGTTGCTGCGGTGCTGGAGTGAATTAGCGTGAAAACAGCCAGC